CCCCAAAACCCCAAAACCCCAAAACCCCAAAACCCCAAAGCTAGTTAGATTCATTGAATTTTATTTTATTGTCAAGAATATAATCTATCCTGATTCTCCTGACAGCAACAAAATTCTTCTCTTTAACAGCTTCAGTGTTGACAATTACTTAGAATGGTTATAAATTTCAACATGCCCAAATCCATAATCCTCCAAAATCTTCTCTACCATATTCTTCTCCATTCCTCACTCACTCATCTTAATCATCTTCAGGTTCTTCTTAAAATCCTCTTCTTGAGAAAGTCCAGCAATGAGATTTTCAAAGTGAGTTCCATTATATTGCCAATTTCAGCACCAAATTTCTCCGCATCCGTCCAGATCTAGCCCTTTAATCCAACTTCCAGAAAGATTTCCTCCGAAATCAGGAACAGAGGATAGATCAAGTTTGCACTTGATAAGTCCGAATAGTTGTTTGTGCTTGTTGGCGCAGAGGAGAGCTATTAGTTGGGCCTGAGAGATTTCAAATTCATGAATATTTAACTCTCCAATGACTCTCTGGCTTATTTCCACCAGTTCTTCAAAGAAAACGGACAGACAACACTTTAAAGAAGAGCCCTTGTTAAAATTAAACACCCCCACTTTGTTAGGGAAGTGAGTCGTCATGAAAGTCTTTGCTTCTTTGTTGTTTGAATAAGCATCGTTCAGATTAAGTATCTCAATGTCTGGTATTCTATTTTTCAGGGATTTTAGGAAGTCCCTATACTTGTATTCGCTAAGTCTAAAAGTGACTTCATCTACAGGTCCGATCTGTTTATCCTCCCCAGTGGTTATTTTGTAGACGAGGATGAAATAAGACGATCTGCAGAAGGTTAGCTCCTTCTTCATGTTATCATAATCCGCCTGAAGGTTCTTCTTCTCTTGTTCAGACTTTTCAAGTTCTTGTCCAAAAGCATTTATAATAGAAACACTTTCCGTGTGCTTTTGAAAGATTTTCTCCAGTTCTTCGTCTTTGATCTTAATCATATCTTGGAGAACTTGCAGTGATGTATCTTTATCTTTGTTAAGCTTGATCATGCTTTCAGTGTACCAATCTTTCTGTTTTTCAATCAGAGCTTGTTGCCCTTTGGAGCGAGTAGTTTCGTCATTAAGTTTTTCGGCAAGATCTTTATATTCTTTTCGCAGCTTCTGGAGTTCTTCCTCTTGCTGTTTGCTTTCTTCTCTTTGTTGTTTGTTTTCTTCTTTAAGTTGCTTGTTTTCTTCTTTAAGCTGCTTGTTTTCTTCTTTTTGCTGCCTGTTTTCTTCATGAAGACTGTGTATCCTTGCATCCTCTTGCTTCGCCTCTTCTTCTTTACCAGCCATGCTCTGCTGGAGTACCGAAATAGTTCCCTCAAGATCTTGGATTCTTGCTCGGAGTTTATCAATAATTTCATTGAGCTCAGATTCCTTGTTTGCTGATGTTTTCTTAAGTTCTTCGAGAGCTTCTTTATGTTCTTCTAGAGCTTCTTTATGTTCTTCTAGAGCTTCTTTTTGCTCTTCGATAACTTCTTTTTGCTCTTCGATAACTTCTTTATGTTCTTCGATAACTTCTTTATGTTCATCTTTGAGCTCCCCAAGTGTATCTTTTACAGTTCTTCATTTGTCATCTTCATCAGCTAGTTTGGCGTCACGATCTGAGATTTCTTGCTGGTATCTTCTCTCAATTGCATGCATTCGGTCGCGAAGTTTCTCCAAGACTCTCTTGAATATTGCTCCATACTTTTGCTTGAGCTCTACCTTGATTACATCGATGTTTCTTTGGTCTTCTAGTCTAGATTTCGTCAACCCTTTACTCCAATCCTTAATCACACACAAGTATTCCTTGTCTTCTGTGAAATGGCTGTCGACATTTTCAGCTTCTTTGTATAAAGATTCATATCTGAAATGTTCTCCGGCTTTATTTGCTCTTTGTAGCTTCTCTTGAATTAGATTAAGTTCTGCTTTTATTGTATAACTAAGGGCTTCATATTTTTCAGGTCAAGCTCCATAATTAAGATTTTCGACAACATTAATAAACTCTTTGAGTCGTTCATCAAGGACCTCTATCCGTCTTCCTACAACATAAGGGTTAATAAGAACAGTGGAGGGAAACTCAGAATATGTTTTAATAATAGCTAAGCCGATGGTCAGAGCAAATATACAGCTTCTTCTCGTCTACATAGTGCCCGGCTCCTTCAAGACATCCCTCATGCTGGCAATTTTGATAGTTCATATTTATCTTAATTATTTAGCAAGGATTGGTTGGAGATAATTTCAAGCTGTTGTGAAGGAATGGGGTTTTGGGGTTTTGGGGTTTTGGGG